CAAAATGTGAGGCTTAACACTAATGATCTAAAGACATATATAGCCATTAAGACAGTATAATATTAACATTAAGACAAATAAATCCATGAAACAGAATAAAGAACACAGAAATAGAATCACAAAAATATGGACAACTGATTTTTTTTTTTTTTTTTTAGTATGGGGGATTGAACCCTGGAGCACTTAACCACTAAGCCACATCCCAAGCCTTTTTCTATTTTTTTTTTTTACTTTGAGGCCTCTAACTTGAGATCTCCCTACCTCAACCTCCCCAGTCACTGGGATCACAGATCACCTCATCCAGCTGGACAACTGATTTTTAATAAAGATGCCAAGGGAATTTGGTGGTGAAACATGTTCTTTTCAAGAAATGGGGCTAAAACAATGTAACACTTATACGTGAAAAAAATGAGCATGGATCCATATCCTGAACTATATACAAAAATTAACTTGAAATGAATCATAGACCTACTGCTTCCTGATTGTTGTGTCCTGAACTGCTTTCCTCTACCATACCCTTCCACCACAATGTGCTGTGCCTCATCTCTGGTCCACAGCAATGGAGTTGGCCACCTAGGACTGACACCTCTGAATTGAAGGCCATTCCAACATAGATAGATTGATATATAGATAGATAGATAGATTGATTGATTGATAATATTTTAGTCCTGATGAAGACTTACAATTTGTCATCAAAAGGCAGCCATGGAGGGCTGGGGTTGGGGCTCAGCGGTAGAGCACTTGCCTAGCACGTGCAAGGCCCTGGGTTCCATCCTCAGCACCATGTAACAATAAATAAATAAAATAAAGGTATTGTGTCCAACTACAACTAAAAAATAATTTTTTTTTTTAAAAAGGCAGCCATGGATCTCTGCTACAAAGCAGTGTCTGTTAAACACCTTCCACTGCCATTAGGAATGCAGCAGAGCTATTCTCTGAAATGAATAACTCCACATTCAAAAGAGGTTTTCAAAAGATGCTGGGAACTAAATAGATTAAGATGAACTGAAGACACAGAAAACCGGTATGTTTACAGAATAAGTAGTTTTAGTCATATAATGTTATAATAAATGTATTTGGCTATGACATGCTGCTCTCCCATGAAGCACCATGAAAGAAAGAAAGAAATCAAGCAAGCAAGTAAGCAAAGACCTAAATGTAAACCTTAAGACAATAACATTTTAAAAAGAAAAAAATAAGAGAAATTTTGTGACCCTAGGTTAGGTAAATATTTCTTAGATACCATACCACAAGTATAATCTGTGAAAGAAAGAAAACTGATCTTAGACCTCCTCAAAATTAAGAACTTCCGTTTGAAACACACTCTTTAGAGAACAACAAGCTATGGGCAGAGAAGGATAAAACTCTACAGATCATATATCTGACAAAGTACTTGAATCTATAACATAAAAGAACTTTTAAACTCAACAATAAGAAAACAATCTAATTTTCAAAAAGGACAAAAAATTGAACAGAAACCTTATGAAGGATACATGGATAACAAGCACATAAAAAGATGTTCAACATCAATAATCATTGGGAAATGCACATTAAAACCCTAATTTGTTTGTTTGTTTAATATTCAAAAGGCTAAAACAGCCTATCATATCAAGTATTGATGAGAATAACAGGAATGTTCATACACTGATTATGGGTGTAATGTAAAGGTGACAAAACAGTTTGTCAATTTCTAAAAAATTAAATATATACCTATCATAGCCATTGGATTCCTAGGCATTTATCCAATAAATAAATATCTGTAAAAGACTTATTCATGGCAGCTATATTTATAATAGCCAAGAACTGGAACTAACTAAATTCCATTAACAGGTGAATGGATAAATTATAGTATATTCACACAAAGGAATCCTATTTAACAATAAAACAGAATCAACCACAGAAAGATAAAATATTTCAAAATAATCAATCAGTATCAAAGAAGTTATACTAAGGGCTGGGGTTATAGCTCAGTGGTAGATCATTTGCCTAGCATGTGTGAGGCACTGGGTTCGATTCTCAGCACCGCATATAAATAAATGAATAAAATTAAGGCCCATCAACATCTAAAAAAAAATTTTAAAAAAGAAGCTATACTAAAACAAGAGAACAGGGGCTGGGGTTGTGTCTCAGTGGTACAGCACCTGCCTTGCATATGGAGGCACTGGGTTCGATTCTCAGCACTGCATGTAAATAAATGAATAAAATAAAAGTCTATCAACAACTAAAAAGAATTTTAAAAAATAAATAAAACAAGAGAACATACTATATTATTGCATTCATATAAAGTATTACAGAAGGCAAACTCATCTGTAATGACAGAAAGCAGACCAATGAATGCCTGGAGATGGGGTGGCATGGGGAGAAGCAGAGGGAGGAATTATCAATAGGCACTGAGGAACATTTTTGGGGTGATGGATATGTTTATTATCTCAATTGAGATGATGGTCAGGGGTGTTCACTTTAAATATGTGCGATTCCTTATGTCAATTATATCTTAATAAAATTCTTTAAAAAAATAAGTGGTTGAAGTGATAAAGAAAAATAGTAGTTTATTCATCCATCTATGTATTCTGAATTCTAAGAATTGAGTGTAACTATCAAAGGCTTCAAGAGTCTATCAAAAGTAACTACAAAAATTTGGTATGCTGGTGCATGCCTGTAATCCTAGTGACTTCAGAGGCTAAGGCAGGAGTATCTCCACATTTGACGTCAGCCTGGGCAACTTAGTAAGACCCTGTCTTAAACTAAAATAATAAAAAGGGTTATAGATGTAGCTCAGTGCTAAAGTGCCCCTGGGTTCAATCCCCAAAATAGCAACAATATTTTTCTGACTATAAAAAGCAGACAGTGACCCATATATAAAGCCCCATATTATTTCCAATTAGGAACTAATATATTTTCTCTTTTTTTGGTAATGAAATCTATGTATATTCTGGTAACTTAAATATTAATAGTGATTCATAGTGGTTAAATATTAATATTGATTATTATATTTGCTATTATTTATATTCTTTTCTCTAGGTTCTAACTTTCCACTTCAACTTTAATTTTACATTATTTCATATCTGTTTCTGCTTATCAAACAAATCTAACCATTATTTATGTTTCTTATCTTTCTCACATGCCATAAAATTCAACCTCTTAGAGTGTACTTTTCAGTATTTTAAAAAATATATTGCCAGGCATGGTGGCGCATGCCTAAATCCCAGCGGCTTGGGAAGCTGAGGCAGAAGATCACAGCCTCACCAACTTAGCAAGGCCCAAAGCAACTCAGTGAGACCGTGTCTCTAAATAAAATACAAAAAAGGGCTGGGGATGTGGCTCAGTGGTTAAGTGCCCCTGAGTTCAATCCCTGGTGCCAAAAAAAAAAATTATATATATATATAAAAAATATATTTACAACACATTGCAATCAGGCTGGGGTGGTGGCTCAGTGGTAAAGCATTTGCCTAGTATGTGTGAGGCACTGGGTTCGTTTCTCAGCACCACATATAAATAAATAAAATAAAGGTCCATTGACAACTAAAAAATATTTTAAAAAAAAGACTGCAATCATCACCACTGATTTCAGAACATTTCAGCATCCCTCCCCCCGCCAAAAAAATCCCTGTGCCCATTAGCAATCACTCTTCTCCCCTTCCCAGTCCTTGGCAATCATTAATCTCCTTTTTGTCTATGTGCACTTGTCATTCTTGGACATTTCACATAAATGAAAGCATATAGGAGGACTTTTGTATCTGGATTCTTTGACCTAGCAATGTTTTCAAGGTTCATCCATGTTGTAATGTATACCAGTACTTTATAATACTCTTATCATGAAAATACCACATTTTTTATTCATTTATCAGCCAATGCACATTTGGATTGTTTCCATGTTTAGCTATTTTGAATAATGCTGCCATGAACATTTGTGGGCAAGTTTTTGTGTGAACATGTTTTCAACCCTCTTACATATATCCCTAAGACTTGTTCGGTCATACAGTAACTACATGTTTAATTTTTTGAGGAACTACATGTCTTCCAACACTTTCCATTAGCAATGCATTCAGTTTCCAGTTTCTCTACATTCTGTCTACATTCTGTTGTCCAGCTTTTTTATTATAGCCATCTCAGAGGTTGAGAAAGAGTACCTCTTTGTGGTTTTGATTTTCATCTCCCTAATGACTGGTGATGTTGAACATCTTTTCATGTGCCTATCATCCTACTTTAAATAAGTTATCTACCCCAAATCCTTTTCAGAAGAAAGTTGGTTATAAATTATTAATAAATAATAAATGCTAATATTCCTTCCTAATTTTTTCATAAAATAATACTGCACCTGAGGTAACAGAATGAATTCTAGCTATAAAAATTTTCATGCTTTTAAAAATAAACTTCTAAGGCTGGGGCTGTAGGTCAGTGGCAGAGCACTTGCCTAGCACTTGTGAGGCACTGGGTTTGATTCTCAGCACCACATAAAAATAAATAAAGGCATACTTTCCAGCTATAACTACAAAAAAATTAATAAAATACAAATAGACTTTTAAAAGTAAATAGTGACATTATAAGTCAAGTACTTTTTCATTTCATAAACTAATTAGGGAGGACAGCAGAATATTAAGAACATTTCAAAGGAAAACTCTGTGTTTGTTTTTTTTTTGCAGGGGGGTTGCATACCGGGGATTGAACTCAGGGGCACTCAACCACTGAGCCATATCCCCAGCCCTATTTTGTATTTTATTTAGAGACAGGGTCTCACTGAGTTGCTTAGCACCTCACTTTTGCTAAGGCTGGCTTTGAACTCATGATCCTCCTACCTCAGCCTCCTGAGCTGCTGGGATTACAGGCATGCACCACTGTGCCCAGCAGGAAAAATATTTACAACCCAAACAACACACGGTCCAAAGTGAAATGAAAAAATACTAACAATTCTTATCTTTTGAAATACCATATATATCATGACAGATTTATTACTAATTAAAAAATATGTGAGGTCCATATCCATCACAAAAAGACCTTACCATCTTCAATGGCATTTTTGATGACACGAAGTCCATCTCTTAGGGCATCCTTGATTTGTGTAAGAGTATGCTTATTTGGTCCTTTGACCAACAAGGTGACAGAGCGAGGGTTAACACAGTCCTCAATAAAAGTGAACTTTTCTTCACCCTAAAGAACGACACAAGAATTTCAGGCTGGGGATGTAGCTCAGGGGTAGAACGCTTGTGGAGCATGTGTGAGACCCTAGGTTCCATCCTCAGCACCCTCCTCCCCCCGACACACACACAGATATAACTTTAATATTCAATGTCATTATGAAATCAAGACTTATTTTATATGAGAATCTATTCTTCATGTGAATTTTTCTTAAGTATAACTAAAAATATATTTAAAAGTAAGTTGTGGCCGAGCGCGGTGGCGCACGCCTGTAATCCCAGGGGCTTGGAGGCTGAGACAGGAGAACTGCGAGTTCAAAGCCAGTCTTAGCAACTGCGAGGCACTAAACAACTGTGTGAGAACCTATCTCTAAATAAAATATACAAAACAGGGCTGGGGATGTGGTTCAGTGGTTGAGTACCCCCGAGTTCAATTCACAGTACCCCCCAAAAAATAAATAAATGAATAAATTGTATTTGAACTCTTAAAAATATTTAGGTAAATAAATTGCAAAGTCTGTCCTATAGATTTCAAAATGCAAAATATGAATTAAAAAGTTAGTATTTTTAAAAAAGGCTTAGTATTCACTTTATAACAACTATTTTTAAATATTATTTTAGTTGTAGATGGACACAATACCTTTATTTTACTTATTTATTGGTGCTGAGGATTGAACCCAGTTCCTCACACATGCTAGGCAAGCGCTCCACCATTGAGCTACAACCCCAGCCCTATAACAATTATTCACAAAAATACTCACTAGTGTGTACTCATATACAAGACCAGCATGTCCCAAGCATTCTGCATTTAGGTCTTCAAGAGAATTCACAGCCACTCCACCACAAGCAAGAGAGAGTCTGAAATTACATAGTTTTGGTTATGGAAAACATAAAGGCTAATTTCTTAAAGATGAAAGGATCTAACATAGAAGATTACATAGTTGCTGTGTTATATTATTTGGGGGCAATTTGTTTACTTTTTAGTTGACAAATAAATGTATTTAAAACATACAACATGATATTTTGAAATTTTACCCACACACACACACACACAGCAAAATGGCTAAATCTAGCTAATTAACAGATGCATTAACTTTCGTAGTTATCATTTTTATGGTGACAACACTTAAAAATCTAGTCTTAGCATTTTCAACAATACGTATATTATTAACTACAGTCACTATGTTGTACAATAGATCCTTGAATTTATTCTTCCTAACAGAAATTTGTATACTTTGACCTACATCTTCTAAACCCCCAAACTTCCTAGCCTCTGGTAAACTACCATTCTCCTATCTACCCCACCCTACCATACTGGGGATTTAATCCAGGGGTGCTTTATCACTGAGTTACCATCCCCAGCCCTTTCAATTCTTTATTTTGAAACAGGTCTCACTAAGTTGCTTAAGACCTCACTAAGTCGCTGAGATTGGCCTCGAACTTGAAATTCTTCTACCCTAAACTCCTGAGTTGCTAGGATTACAGGTGTGTGCCTTTGTTACGATTTTCTCTCTACTTCTATGACTGCAACATTATTAGACTCCACATATAAGTGAGATCACATCCCATTGCATTGTTTTTAAAATCTCTCTTAAAAATATGAAAACCTTCCTTGTACTTGACTCTAATTTTACAATTTCAACTGTTTATTAAAATTAAGAACAAAATTTGGAATTCGTACACTACTATTTTGTTCAACAATGTTTACTTATAAACTAAAAGGATTAAACATGGAATAACTTCAGTTTGTTTAAAGAAGTTGGGATGTATAATGCACAAGCTTACCTTTCCATATTTCTTCTTTTGGCTCTACGAAGAGCTACTATTCCATGTTTTGCAAGAACATCTAAGGAAAATGGATCAATTCCCTATAATTAAATAACACAAAAATTGTAAACTTTATTCTGTGCTGTATATCAAACCCATGCTAGGCAAGCACTCTACCACTGAGCTACTCTCCTAGGCATAAACATATTTTAAACGAGCATTTCTCAAACTTTTTCATCTCAGTATCACTTTATACTCTTAAAAATTAAGAACCCAAAGAGCTTTTGTTTATATGAGCTATATCTGTTTATCATAAATTAAAATTAATAAATTTAAAAATATTTGATAACCATTAAAATAATATACCTATTTTATGTTAACATAATATTTTTTAATAAAAATTTACTATACTTTCCAAAATGATTTACATGAAAATGATTTACATTTTTGCAAATCTCTTTAATGTCTGTCTAAATAAAAGACAGGTAGATTCTCATATTTGTTTCTGCATTCGGTTTGGTATAATATGCTGTTTTGGTTCAGATACATAAAGAACTCTGGCCCCACCACATAGATAAAAATTGGAAAGAGAAATATTTTTAAAGACTTTTCAGCTGCACATGCCTGTTATCCTAGTGACTCAAGAGGCTGAGGCAGGAGGATCACAAGTTTAAGGCCAATATCAGCAACACAGGGAGGCCCTAAGTAATTTAGTGAGGCTCTAAGCAACTTAGTGAGACCTTGTCTCAATCAATCAATCAATCAATAAAAGGGGATGGGGGTGGGAATATGGCTCAGTACTTATATGCCCTTGGGTTCAATCCCTAAAAGCCTTTTCAGACAACTAGGTATTCTTCTCTGATACTGTATATGTTATGGTTTAGATGTGAGATATCCCCCAAAAGCTCACATATGACACAATGCAAGTGTTTAGAGCTGAATTGATTAGGGGATTAACTAAGTGGTTTAAGTGAACGCAGGTAGAGTGTGACTAGAGGAAGTGGGTCATTGGGGGTCTTCTTTTGAGGTACATATTTCTTATCTGGTGAGTTGAGTTTCTCTCTGCTTTGATATGGGAGATTGAACCCACAGGTGTTCTCCCTCAAAGCTACATCCCCAATCTTTTTAATTTTTATTTTGAGACACAGTCTCACTATGTTGCCAAGGCTGGCCTCAAATTTGCAATCCTTCTGCCTCAAGCCTCTTAAGTCACTGGAATTACAGGCCTGCATCACTATGCTCAAACATTGGTCTTATACTTTAAAATGCATTATTTATCTATGTGTTATTTTGAAAAATCCTGCATGTTTAGTCATTTATTAAATATTGATTAACTTGGGGCTGGGGTTGTGGCTCAGCGGTAGAGCACTCGTCTCGTGTGCGCGGGACCCTGGGTTCGATCCTCAGTACTACGTAAAAAAATGAATGAGTGAAATAAAGGTATTGTGTCCAACTATAAAATAAATATTAAAAAAATATATTGATTATATACAGGATACTTAACTACATTAGACTCATATGTTACCACTGGCAACAAACACTGTCAGGTATTTTCCTTGAAGTGATAGAATTGCTTCATTCATTTCTCAGAAAAATCTTCCAAATACCCAAATCTAAATAATATATAGTTTGTCAATCAGTCATTCTTTCAAGCTAAAAATGAATAAAAGTAACTAGTTTAGCTCACAGATCAATCATTCAAGGGTTTCCTTCAAGACAGCCATCCCATTTTGGTATTTTAGTAGAAGTTCTCTTTGTGTATTTCATATTTTATCACTCAAGATTTATAAAAGAATGCATTAAGGATCAAAATTTAATAAAACTTACTAGTGTTACCGTTTGATCAAAACATTCATAAATGAAACTGCCTTTCTTTTTTCTGCAAGTGTGTGGTGGTGTGGCATAAAGACGATGAGGACTGCCAGGATGGTTGGAGCTGCTGCCTTCATTTGTACTAAGGTGCTGGCAGTTTTATCTACCATTGCTTTTGCACCATCATTGCAAATGTCAACACAATGTGAAAGGATTATTAATATAAAAATAGTTTTAACATCTGAGTCCCTGTAAGGGTCCTTGGAACCCTCAGGGTCCATAAAGCACACTTTGAGAAATACTGAAAAAAACTTACAAATAATTAAAATCTAAATGTTTTTTTTTCCTCACCTTTTGATTAATGACAACAAATCCTTTATTGGTCTCAGAACAGACTTTCTCTTTCAGGTCTATTATTTTTTGTACTCTATCTTCAATAAATTTCCTTTCAGCTTTTACCAATTTCTCTTTCTCTTCTGCAGTCTTGTAAAAGAAACCAGAGTTCACCTCTCTAAAAGATTAATAAAAACAAGATAAAGACAGAGGGAAAGAAGGAAACAGAAGAAATCTGGGAGGGAAGAGATTTTAAAACACTTTTAGAAAAAACAGTTTAAAAATTTATAAAGAGAAATTATCACTTACGTTTTTTCATATTCTAGTGACACATTGCAAGTAAGAATAAATGCATCTCTTACTTGCTTTTTCATATCTGGATGACGGGCACCATGATCCAAAACTAATCCTCGGATCAACCTATTAAAACATGCAGTTTCTTACTTTGAATATACGCTCTAAAATTTGACATAAATTATACTCAAATTTAAATACAAAACAGCCAAGGCACACATTGTTTCTTTGTGAAAACTTCAAAATCTAACATATAATTAGTAAAATCAGAAAAGAGAATCTATTTTAACATAGTATGACTGTGAACTCACAATGAAAAGTCAAACCAGAATTATTCTCTAAGTTCTACAGCTCAAAAACATGACACCACTGATCAAGTAATGAAAGGAAGGTATAAAATGAAGCTCTTAGGAAAAATCTGTTCAAGATAATTACATGAAACAACTAAAACTGTTAACCTAAATATCTAACAATAGGATATTGCTCAGCAATGACCCAACTATTTGATGGTCACAAATACTATGTAACAGAGTTGGGCATAGTGATGCACACCTTAATCCCAGTAACTCAGGAGGCTGAAGCAGGAGGATCCCAAGTTTGAGGCCAGCTTGGGCAACACAGAGAGAACCTATCTCAAAATAAAAACTTAAAAATGGCTGGGGATGTAGCTCGGTGGTAAAGGACTCATAGATTCAATCCCCAGCACCAAAATAATAATAAGGTGGAAAAATATTTACAAGATAGTTGATAATCACTGAATGACAATTTGCATTTAAAGCATGAGTGTAACTATACTTATAAAGAAATAAGGATCTTGACATTAAAAAGGAAAAATATAACCCCCTAGGCTTTCATGGTAGGAATTTAGTGGGGCACTTTTTTTCTGTTTGCCAAATATTCTTTCTAAAGTACACATTTTTATAACTTGTAAAACTGATTTACACACACTTAGGGGATAGCATTTCTACTTAAGAATCTTTTAGAAAACCAATATTTGTCACACCTTAAAGAAATTATTTTTAAATAATTCAACGTACTTATAAGGAAGTTTTCAAATGTTTAATACAACTAGATTACTACAACTCCTGAGTGAGAAGATGTTTTATTTAGGAAGAAACTAAACATTCAATGTTCTCCACTTTCTAAGCCTCCTTCATGCTTACTGTCTCATCACTCTCATCAAGTGACCTTGTTTCTTTGAGAAAACAGAAACATTGTCCCATCACTACCTTTAGCAATCCTACTGCTATGAATGAAGTATTCACCCTCCTCTGTAAGGTTAATCTCTCTGCTTATTTATTGAACTCTATTCCCCTCTCTGTTCCGGCATTGTCTCCTATATCAATTCTTCTTTCCTATCAGAACATCCTTATCAGCATACAAATTTGCTATGATAGAGCCCATCATTTTTTTGTTTTTTAAAAACAAAACAAAAACTTCTCCATGAGCTCCATTCCAGTATTTTCTTCTATTTCTTTGCTCCACTTTGAAGCTAAACTCCTCTGGTTGGTCCACATTTGCATTTCCACTTCTTCCAAACTCTTCTCTCTCGAGCTCACCTTCAATATGACTTTCATCTCTACCTCTTTAGAAGCAGCTCTCATTAAAGAAACCAAAAACTGTTTTCCAAATATAACAATAAATTTTCAGTTTATAACAATATACTTAAACTTTCAGCAACATACAACAAAGCTGCTTTTTCTCTCCTTAACATACCTTCTGCTTTTGGTTTCTGGGGCACTACTCTCTTGGGTATCCCACTTCAGTGACCACTGCTTCTCAGCTTCCTTTATGAATCTTCATCTTTTCAAACTCTGGGCATTAGAATTCCCAAGCCTCAATCTTTAAACTTCCTCTTTTCTCTATTTTTATTCACCTCCCAGGTGATCTCATTTACTCTCATGGCTTTAAGTCATCTATATATTGATGATTCTCAAATACATATTTCCAGTCCAATCCTGAACTCCAAACATCACACCAACTGCCTACTCAACATCTCCACAGGATACTTACAGTCATCTCAAACATAACATTCCCCAAAATGAACTCATTTATTTCCCCAAACTTGTTCCTCTCACTCTTCTCCATCGCAAGATACAGTGTATCTACTTTTCCAGCTGATCATACAAAAACCCCTTGACTTTTATTTCTATCTCATTTTACGCAGAACCATTGCCAAATCCTACTGCCTCTTCCTTCTAAAATATGCCCTGAACTAAACCATTTTCATTTTTAACCTGAACTATATTAACAAATTCCTAATTGCTCTCCTGTTTATTCCCCTCCCCCACCTTCCAACTTGCTCTAAAGTGTATTCTCCACACAAAACAACTACAGATATCCTTCTGAAATATAAATCAAGAACTTGCTATCTTCAATAACAGTAGGCTAATTTGGACCAACCCTATGACCAAAAACTAAATAATGCTGTATTACAAACCAAAACTTAACAACACTGAACATGTACAAGACAGTAGATTACAAGACCAAAACTAAAAACAAAACAGGAACTGCAGGTATTTTTATTCTAAAGTTATTTGACATGCCAGACAAATATAAACTTTAGTTCCAATAACTTCACAATGAAATGGGACAAAATTAAAGGCCCAGTGATCATCCAAAGTGGTGAGTCTAATAGGAGATCTTCACATTGAGCTTAGATCCCAAAAGGCTACATACTCAGGGTCATACAGAAGGATGAGCTAGAAATAATCAGTCCTCACATGAACTGGCATTAAGAATTCATATCAAATGAATATGCCAAAAAAGTCTCAAGCTTTAAATTTTAAGTAGTCCTTGGGCTCCCAACATAAGTGAATGCAAATCCTCTTTCCAGAAAGGCACCTTCATCCTAGGTCTCAAATTCTTTCTTTCTTTTTTTTTTTTTTTTTTGGTACTGGGCATTGAACTCAGTGGCACTCAACCATTGAGCATCATCCCCAGCCCTGTTTTGTATTTTATTTAGAGACAGAGTCTCACTGACTTGCTTAGTGCCTCGCCATTGCTGAGGCTGGCTTTGAACCCGAGATCCTCCTGTCTCACCCTTCGAGCTGCTGGGATTAAAAGCATGCACCACTGCTCCCAGCCTCTGAAATTATTTTTACAAATACTTCTTTCAAGAGCAATGAATGGCACATATGGAAACAAAGCATGATGAGCAAGAACTAGAAAAATATAATTAACACCTGAAACAAGCCAAAATTTAAGATATTATCAGATATAAATTCTATGCTTTAAAGAGTTTATTTAAAGGTAATTTTGGAAAGATCCGCAGGGAACAGAAAATCATAAGTGACAAGCAGATTCAAGGAAGAACAAAATATAACTTCTATAAGTAAGTACATAAAGAAATACACACATGTATACACCACCGTTAAATTTTTTACAAACAAGATGGGCACAGTGGCACATGCCTACAATTCCAACACTCAGAAAGCGCAAGCTGGAGGATCACTTGAGTTCATGAGTTCAAGATTAGCCTGGGCAACAAAGCGAGACCTCGGCTCAAAAAAAAACAAAACAAAACTTTTTTTTTTTTTTTTCCAAGGGAGCAACAGACATGTGCTGCAGTCTGGCTGGGCACAATTCACCAGCCACTTATCAAGCAGAAATGAACTTTATTTTTAGAACACACACACCGCACCACATGAGCTCTTCAGGAATTCCCTCAGAGCCCAACTGCCACCACCGGCTTCCCACAAGCCACTCAACCCCCCCCCCCCCCACACACACACACACACTCCTCCTGCTCTTGAGGCCGATTGACTGGGTGGGGGGGCGGAGCCAAAAGAGTCCCCCAGTGAGCAGCTCCGTGGTCTGAAAGGGCGGGGAAACAGCCCAATGAGCATCATGCAGAGGAGCCAATCAGCTGGCAGCTGGAAGTTTGCTGGGGGCCCCTTCAGCTGTGGCTCTCAACAGACATGCATCCATGTCTAACAAAAGGATGTTATAATGTTTTCAGAAGCACTACTCATAAAGGTCAAAATTGAAAGCTACCTAACTTCTCATCATTAGCAGAATGAATGGATTGCAAGAGTAACAATAAAATACTACAGAGGAAATGAGAATGAATGATCTACTATACATGGAACAGTTCAGATGAGTGAAAACAATACCGAATAAAAAAAAAAGTCAGAATCAAAAAAGCACCTGCTTTATGATTCCCCTTAGACAAGTATAAAACAAGTAATATTAATCTATGTCATAGAAATTCAGGTTAGTCTTGACAAATAAAGGCTGAAAGGGAACATACCAAAGGAAGGTTCTTGGAGATCTGTTTCTTTTATGAATGCTAATTATACAGATATATTAGAAAATTCATCAAGCTATACCATTATGGTGGGAACACTCTTCATTGTGTTACTTTTCAGTGACTATACTTCATCTAAAATTTCTCCTAATCAAAAGATTGATTTAAAGATTAGCCACTGCTCAACAGAAAATAATTGAATAAGTCACTACAAAATAAATAACTACAGATTAGCCAAATACTGGGTATGTAATGTAACACAAAAGAGAGAAAGTAAATGGAAGACAGAGTAAGAACATCAAGCATATGTTTAACTGAAGAAAAATAACAGGTAACAGGGCAGAATAAATATTTCAGGAGGTAATGGATGTGAACCAAATAAAATACATCAATTCATAAACTCAAGAAGCCCAGAAAATACCAAGCAGAATAAACAAAAAGAAATTCTACACATCATAGTAAAAGTGTAGAATACCAAAGAGAAATATGTCTGTATCATCTAGGCAATTAAAAATTTCATTAAAAACAGCTAATTTCTTAAGAACAATCATGGAAGTCAGAATACAGCATAACAATCCTTCAATCAGCTCAAAGAAAATGCTCCTCAACTTACAACAAAGTTTTATCTCAATAAAATCATCAAAGTTGAAATCATTGTAAGACAAAAATGACATTTACTTTTCCCAACCTTCTCAACATCATAGTTTACTCCACAGTACACTGTAAAGTATCCGTCCTTTACTCTCCTAAATGTTCACTGGTGGGGAGCTGTGGCTACTTTCACTGCCCAGCAATGGCAGAGGGTATCACACCACAGATTACTAGGAAAAAATCAAAATTCAAAGTATAGTTACTACCGAATTTATATCACTTTCACAGCATTGTAAATTTAAAAAATCATAAATTGAACTGTTAGGGACCATCTGTACCTGTGAATCTAGTTCGATATACAAAAAAGTAAAATACAAAGAATGAAGATGAAATAAAGGCATTTTCTGGAAAAAAACAAACAACAATACGCCTCCAGCAAACTTTCACTAAAGGAAATCTATACAGAATGAACTTTAAGCAGAAGTGAAGTACAGTAGTCCCCTTGTCTGAAGTTTCACTTTCCTCAGTTTCAATTACCCATGGCCTCAGTTACCTGCTGTCAACCACTGTTTAGCATTAACAAATGAGGGATTAGATGATTGTTGAGTCATCTACAAAGAAAGAGGAAGACAAAGACGCTAAGTCAGATGTGGTGGCCATGCCTGTAGTTTCAGCTACTGAGGAGGATGAGGCAGGAGGATCACTTAAGTCCAAAAATTTGAGACCAGCCTGGACAATGAGAAGGAGAAAGTGGAGGAAAAAGAGGAAGAGGAAGAAGTGAAGAGGAAGAGGAGGGTGATGAGGGTGAGGAAGAGAAAGTAGAGGAGGAAGGAGGAGGAGGAGAAGAAAGGGAAGCAGAATCACCAATGTGGACATTACCCAAATTTGCCAGTGTGTTAAATGGCACAGACATTAAAGGACAAAATTATGGAATACAGTCCTCAGCTGGAATGCAACATTAAAGCTACTTATATGGTCACTGAAGTATTAGCTTCTGCAGCAACACCTTGATGAGAAAGAAACAACAACTTTTGATTATAATGTTCTTCCAAAAAATTTCAGCAAAAGTTCTTTTAGTTGTCAAGGATCACTGACCATTGACATTGTCATGGCTCTATGATCTACCAGAAGAAGATGATCCTCCTTCTTAAGTATCATCAGAAGGTATAGTAGCTTATATGTAGCTTAACATGACATCACAATGCCTAAATCATTCATTTCTCTTCATCTCATCATGTAGACACTGTATTATATCACATCATTATAAGAAGTAAAAATTGTAAAAAATCAAGTAGAATATAACAGAGAAAGATTAAAAGTAAAACATTAAAAAATAACAGGCAAATACTAATTTAAAAAAAGCTGGTGTGACAGCTATATCAATATCAGATAAATTACACTTTTAAGCCATTACTAGAGAGAAGATGGTCACTTCATATTGTTAAAAATGTTCAATGCACTGCAAAAATATAATGCTTTAAAAACTGTATGCATTTAATAAGACAGTCTTTTGTTTTGGTTTGGTTTGGTTCTTTTGGCCAGGGATGAAACCCAGGGCCTCACACATACTAGGCAAGTATTATACTACTGAGTGACATTCCCAAGCCAAGCCAAGTCTCAAAATATATAAAGCAAAACTGTCAAAACTAAAAATACAGGGTTGGGGTTGTAGCTCGGTGGTAGAGAGCTTGCCTAGCATGTGTGAGGCATTGGTTTTAATCCTCAGCACCACATAAAAATAAAAACATAAGATATTGTCTCCCTCTACAACAACTAAAAAATTTTAAAAAACTAAAAATACAAATCTACAGTAACATTGAAAGATACTAACATATGTCTTTCAGTAATTGACAGAATAAGCAGATAAATACCAATAAGGATAAGAAGGTCTAAATGAAAGTATTAACAAACTTGATTCCCTTGATCTAACTGGACATATATAAACTTGTACCTAACAACTGCAGCATACATTTTTTTCAAGTACATGTAACATTAACAAAAATTGACTATCTATACACTCAGCCATAATGCATAGTCAAACAAATTTCAAAGCAATGAAATTGGGCAGTGGCAAATGCTTGTAATCCTAGCAGCTCGGGAGGCTGAAACAGGAGGATCGACAGTTCAAAGCCAGCTTCAGCAACAGTGAGGTGCTTAGCAACTCAGTGAGACCCTGTCTCTAAATAAAATACAAAATAGGGCTGGGGATGTGGCTCAGTGGTTGAGTGCCCCTGAGTTCAATCCTTAGTACCCCTGCCCCCAAAAAAGCAGTGAAATCTCATAGAACATAGTTTCTGACCATAATATAGTTAATCTAGAAATCAATAAAAAAACCAAAAAATGTCCCTAATATTTTGAAATTAAGAATCACAGTGCCAGATGCAATGGTTCATGCCTGTAATCCCAGCTACTCAAGAGGCTGAGGCAGGAGGATAGAGAATTTGAGGTCAGTCTAAGCAACTTTATGAGACCCTATCTCCAAATCAAATTAAAAAGAAGGTTGGAAATGTAGCTCAGTGGTAGAGCACATGCAAAGCCCTGTGTTCAATCCCCAATACTGAAACACACACACACACACACACCCCTCATGGACATTAGAAAATATTTTAAACAGAATAAAAATTATAAAACCACATATCAAAATTTAAGGAATGCAGCTAAGTAATACTTTCAGGACAATTTAACACCTTAAATACTACATTATAAGAATAGAAAGCTGAAAATTAATAACCTAAGTAGCTATCTATTGGGTGCAGTGGCAAGCACCTGAAGTCCCAGCTACTCAGGAGGATGAGGCAGAAGAAATTACTGAGCCCAGGAGTTCTGGACCAGACTGGAAAACATAGTGAGACACTGTCTCAAAAAAAAAAAAAAAAAAAAAAAAGAGAAAGAAGGGGCAGGGAGGAAAAAAATACATAGTATAGAAGAAGAAAATATCTCCAAAAAAGTAAAAGAAATTAAATAATAAGGTGAAAGATACTATGAAGCAAAACCCAAACCAATCCCTGGAAAAAAATTATCGAAAAGGAAAAATAAAACAACACCAGGAAAAATAAGGATATCACTATAGATCTTGCAAATAGGATTTTATGAACATTTATGTCAAATATTTAAAGATTTAGACAAAATGGATGAATTCCTGGAAAAAATATTACTTAATAAAGTGGTTCAAAAAGAAGTAGAAAAACCTAACTTGTCCCAAGAAAACTACATGAATAATCAAGACTCTTTCCACAAAAAATGTGCAAGACGAATAACCAGACTTCTTCAAAATAATTTTCAAAGTAAAAAGTAACTGGCTCATGGTAGTGAAAGGCATGAACTAGTTAATGCATGCTGAATGAATAGACTAATGTTGAGGTAAAACAACTAGTGAAATTAATGAAAGAACATTTGAAGAAAACCAAATATTCTAAACCTATGTATCGTCAAAATTTACTGTGTATCTGTTCCTGCTTTATGCTTCATCTCCACTATTTCCACCATGAAGAGATCAATAGGGTAACCTGGTCTTCTAACAGCCAATACGGAATCCACCACAGCCTGAAAGAGAAGTGAATGAGGATAGTTGATTATTTGGACTATTAAAAAAAAAAAAAAAAACCCTGGCCCCCATAATCAATCACCAAATACAGAAAGGGCTTCAGGTTTCAAAATATAAGGCAAAGCCAACAAATAGCATTTTATTGTAGACACTGACAAAAAAATAATATGCATGGATACTTTAGAGTCTAAAGGAACTACAGAGATCATCAGGTCCAAATCCTTTATTACATAGATAAGGAAACTGAGAGAACCTAAGAAATTACAGTTTTAAAATAAGATCTGATAGTAGCAGAGCCAGGACTAGAATTCAGGTCTCTGTTAATGTCAAGCCACTGCTATTTCTGCCTCACTAACACTATATAACCTCTTCCACCAAAGGGTACCTTAATAGAAAAGGAGGAAATACAATCTAAGAGCTCAAATTTGCTGCCTATAATAACATGTCATTTTTCAGTCTCATGTTTTTCCATGAAAAGTTTCCAGGTCATGCCACACATTTATTTCAATGTGAAAATAATGCTTCCACCCAAATGGTAAAGTAAAATTGACATGCCAGGAAAACTTGTCTCATTTATTTTGCTATATTTCCCCAGGGCTGTGCAATTTTAAAAGCAGAACACAACATATCTTTTTAAAAAAATATTTATTTTTTTAGTTGTAGCTGGACAAATTACCTTTACTTTATTTATTTTTATGTGCTGCTGAGGATAGAACCCAGGGCCTCACACGTGCTAGGCAAGCACTCTACCACTCAGCCACAACCCCGGCTCCAGAACACAACATATATTATGGTTAGCTCAGAAATAATATGAAAAAAAAACTGATTATGAAAATTAAGAGCTAAGTTATAACCACCCTAAAATAAAACAAAAAACCCACTATATCTTAGAAAATTTTACCTGCAGTAACATAATACTTAATTGTGGCACTTACTAGAGAATAAGACAAAGTTGTCACTGGGTAGTAAGAACATAAGTGGTTTTATATCTCCAAAAGAAAATGGTGCTTCTGCACAGCAAAGGAAACTATTAAGAATGAGAAGAGAGAACTTCTAGAATGACTGAAAATCTCTGCTAGCTACTCTTCTGACAGAGAATTAATATCTAGAATATATTTATTTTTAAAACATTTATTTTTTAGTTTGAGGTGGACACAATATCTTTATTTTATTTTTATGTGGTGTTGAGGATCAAACTCAGCACCCTGCGCATGCCAGGCGAGCGCGCCACCCCTTGAGCCACATCCCTAGCCCTAGAATATATTTAAAAACTCAAAAACTTAACAATCTCCCCCCAAAATAACCCAATTAATAAATGGGTAAATGAATTAAACAAACACTTCTCAAAAGAAGAAATACAAATGATCAACAAATATATGAAAAAATGTTCAACATCATTAGCAATTAGGGAAATGGAAATCAAAACTCCACTGAGATTTCATCTTTTGCCAGTCAGAATGGCAGTCATCAAGAATACAAATAATAATAAATGAAGGAGAGGATGTGGAGACAAATGAACACTTTTCCACTGTTAATGGGATTGTAAATTAGTACAATCACTATGAAAATCAATATGGAGTTTCCTCAAAAAAACTAGGCATGGAAATACCACATGACCCAACTATACACTCCTTGGTATTTATCCTAAAGAATTAAAGTCAGCATACTATAGTGAGACATGCATACCCATGTGTAGAGCAGCACAATTCACAACAGCTACAGTGTCCATCAACAGATGTATGAATAAAGAAAATGTGGAAATATACTAATGGAGTTTTATTCAGCCATGAAGAAAAATGAAATTATATCATTTGCAGGAAAATGAATGAAACTAGACACTGTTTCATAAAGCAACATAGGTTAAACTGAAGTCAAGGATCATGTTTTCTCTCATATGTGGAAGCTAGAGAGGAAAAAGAAAAAGATGGGGGCGGGGATCTCATGAAAATCAAAGGGAGATCAATAGAGGAAAGGGAAGAAGGGATGAGAGGAAGGTGGGAGGAAAGGAGGAAGGAAGAAGTGCTGGGGAGTGATATTGGCCAATTATATCATTATATTGTGTGCATGTACGAATATGTAACAATAAATTCCATCATTATATACAACTATAATGCACCAATAAAAAATGTGGAAAGAGGAAAAAAGAAAGAAAGAAAGAAAATGACTGCCCTAAATAGCAGAGATCTTGAACCACTTGAGTGTTCCAACAGCAGAAAATGTAGCTGCTGCTTCTGACTCTGCTCAGCAAGAAATTGTCTGATTTTAATCCAATTTCCCATACTTTTCCTATTGGGAAGGAGAATTAAGCAGAGGCAACTCAGGTGTTTCAGTCCATTTGGCATTTGTATTTCTCAAATTAGTAAGATAGCATTCTGCTTTGTATTTCCTTTGCTGTGCAGAAGCACCATTTTCTTTTAGAGATATAAATATGAGTTTGGTTACTATGAATTCATCATTTCTGATACATTTAATACGGTCAAGTTTTAGAAATTGCAAAGCTGGAGAACAATAATGATGTCATCAAATGATAACCACCTGATAAAAGCCTTCTTAAAATATCCAACCAATCTTGTCTGTATATTATATATGCTCCTCCTTTAGAAGAAAAGAAAACAAACACACATTTCCCAAATGTGAATATTATATATCAGCTCAATCATGCTTCGTAAAAGTAGTAAACTTAACTACAAGGCACACTGCAAAAACAACTTCCTCATGTATCACTCTATAACAAAATATGGACCTCTAGGTTTAGACTAGTATACTACCCATAGGAGATAATCTACAGGAGGCCAACTCCCTCCAACTTTCAAGTCACATAAATGTTAATATGACACTTTTGGAAAACTACAAATACTATTCTGACCAATTAATGTCTATACATAAGCCTGTAAGTGTTTATCTCCTTATTTTGTTGTACATTCAAAAGAATCACATGCAAATCTTGGCTGTCTTCTAGGAAAAAGAAAATATCATCATGTGTTAGGCTATACTCATTCTCAATACAAAAATTTTAATCACATACCTCTGTTAACACATCAGCCAGTTCTGCATGAACTTTCGTCCGTAGAGATGTTCTAGCCACATCTAAGAGGATTTCTCTTTTCATCTCCTTTTTTACTTTAACTTCCTCCAAAACATCAAGTGCTTTTATCTTTGCAGCTTCAAATCCTTCTGCTATTATTCTAGGGTGCAGGCCCTATTATATCAATATGAAATTTAAAATTATGAAGTAAATCATTGAAAGTCAAAAGTAACTATCCTCTCCTATTAATATATTCCAAAAAAGTAATGTTAGCCACATTAATGCCACTAAACGTAAATGAGCAATTTATAAAAGATAAAAGTTGCTCTGTTTCCAAAAATTATGACTACATTGTCATGTGGTGCCCTTCTAAATGAGCTCCAACAACAGCAACAACAAAAAAGGCTCCTTTTAATGCTAAGCATTTAGAAAAAAGTGCTAAACAACACCTTCACCCAGTGATCAAAGTTAACATCACAGTAATGATAGACAGACATCATGCGCCTTCTGATAGGATGCATTCAGAAGAGCACAACAGTACTTCTGTGATTTTCCTGCCAAAAATTAATAACCTGAGTATAATTGTGAGGAAAGAGACAAATCCAATTAAGGGACTTTGTATAAAATAACTGGCCTATAGTCCTTAAAAGTAGCAATGTCATGAAGCATAAAAGGAAGCTCAAGAATTATCTCAGCTTACAAGAGACTAAAGGAACATGACAACCGAATGCAATGCATGATCCTAGATTTTCTTTTTCTATAAAGGTCACTATTGGAAGCAGTGGTGAAATTTGAATAAAATCTGCAGATTAGATAATAGTACTACTTGAATGAGTCAATGTTAATATTAATTTCCTGTTTTATGTAATTACACTGTGGTTATATATGAGAATCCTTGATTATAAAAATGTACACCGACTAATTCTGAAATAGATCATATCTGAAGCTTACTCTCAAATCATTTAGAAAAAGATACATACAATGATATATATTATTTCCTCTGATATATAGTACAATATGATATGTATGATATGTACAGTGATATATACGATTTCCTCTATTATAATGTTATATATAATTATATATACAAAATTATATATTATATATATGTGTGTGTGTTATATATATATTATATCTCAGAGCAAGGCCAAGAATGGAGAAATTATAAAAATTGGAGAATATGGGTAAAACATATATAGGAATTCTTTGTTAACATTCTTGCAACTTTTCTGTAGATCTGAAATTCTGACAAAACAATTTTAAACAGTATTATTTACTCTGAAAAATAATAAATAGGGGCTGGGGTTGCAGCTCAGTAGTAGAACACCTGCCTATAGCATGTGTAAGGCACCAGATTTGATCCTCAGCACCACATATAAAATAAATAAATAAATAAATAAAAGTATTGCGTCCATCTATAACAAAAATATTTTTTTTAAATAATAGTTAACAAATTTTGTGAAGGCTGGTACAATTTCTAATTTATTCCCACCATTCCTTTATGTCACTCCTATAATATTTAAAAGTTGACATTTAATTGAACATTTGTGCTGGGCACTATCTAAGAGCTTTACATGAATTAGTTTAACCCTCTCAACAACAGTATGAAGTGGATATTTATTACTCCCACTATACACAGGTGAGTGACCAAATTTTAAGGGAATAATGTAATTTGCCTTAGATTAGCAAACTAGTTAAGTGGAGCAATGTACCAAGGAATGAAATTGACCAAATTACGTGTATGCATGTGTGAATGAATATATAATAGCAAATCCCACTAACATGTAAAACTATAGTGTACCAATAAACATTTTTTTATAAAAGCGGAGCCAGGATTTAAACCCAAGAGACGTGACTCTAGAGCCTCGCTATTACCATTTTCAAAAATTTCCTCAGTCCAGGACATCACAATTGCTCATCTGGACTACTAGAACCTCTCTTGTCATGACTCCCTTAAAATTGTCCCCAAACATTTAAAATGCCAATATGACCACATCAGATGTTACTATGTTGACATGTTTAGTCTATTCAACACAGAATAAAGTGCAAGTTTCCTGGTTAACGTACCACACACCCTCTGTGATCTGGCTCCCACCTCCTCCAGCCTCTTCTCTGCTACCATCCAAATCATTATAAATTCCAGCAACACCAAACTGCTTGCTGCTCTATAAAACACTATGTTGTTCCTTCTGTCTGGAATGCCATTCTCCTTGCTCCTCACTCTTTCATCTGGCTCATTCCATCCTGAAAATTTAGCTCAGGACTTACTTCCTGCAGTGAGTTGCTTTCTGACTACAACAGTTTAGTTTAGGAACTCCTTTCCTCCTTAGTGTTTCTGCCATATCCTGTGCCTAGCTCTATCACCATCTGCCAGTTTCATTATTATGTCATTACCTACCAATCTCTCAAAATAAACCAAACCTTATATTGTTTGGGTGTCCCTCTTCCCAGGTCAAGGAGTGGATCCTGATTAATTTAAGTCAATTCCCCTTAAAATGGTTATTGGTTTAGAATGAGCATAAGACTAAAGTTGGCCCAACCACAAAAAAAGAAGTTGTGTCCCCTATTGAGTATTACCAAGAAGCAAGTAACCCTGATTTCCTTTGACAGTCTTACACTCAAGATAAAAACAAGCCTTAGGATGAAACAGTACCATGAATGGAAGAGCTAAGAGACAGAAAGGTCCCAGGTTCTTGATGACTGAATAAACTTTTTAATCAATTCAACTTGGATCCATCCTTATCTCTTAATGTTCTATTATGGGAGCTTAATAATTTCTTCATTGTTTAAGTGAGTTTTAGTCAATTTCTACTGCTTACAGGCCAAACCATCCTAACTGAGATAAGTTGCAGGTACTGAATTAATAGACAATTCTCAATACTGAATAAAACACAAAGAAGCAATAATTTCAGCACTTTAACCGGGTAATGCTTTGCTGAATGGTCTCTGAATAAGAGAAAAAATTCAAATAATTATAGGAAACAGATAGGTAATACTAAGAAAAGAATAGAAATCAAACAAAGACACAGAGCTAGAAATGTGCATGATGTTTCTGAGGCTAGTTAATGGAGGAATCTGAATAGATGGTTTATAAAGGAAAATAAATCTAAAAAGGTAGGTAAATTCACAAGATGGGAAACTTTCAATAAGGTTTTCCCTTCAGTTATTTTTTTAAAGGTGTGTAATTTGTTTTCAACTTTTATTAGTGGCATTTTCTTTCTTAAGCCATTACTCTTGGGTACATGGGTAATTTTTTTTATCTTTCTATAGATCTTAACCATTTCATTTTTAAAAGAGGCATATTATTCCAATAAAAGGCATTTATTTATTGGGGGGGTGAAGTTCATTGCTATTTCCATTTATAAATATCCAAGAATATCTTAATTAAAATTAACCTGTACCCTCTCTAAAATTAAACCATTTTATTTTTTATAAACTTCATTCAAAATAGTGAATTCTGTGAAATAGTAATACCTCAGAAATGTAAAGATCAGCTTGTTTTAATAACTCTCCAATAATTAGAACATTTGAAGTAGTACCATCTCCTGTGATGTCATCCTGTGCTGTTGCAACTTTTGCTATCAAGGAAGCTGTTGGGTGTTGAATTTGCTGGAAAAAGTAAGCAACAAATTTAAAAAGAAAGGGGAATGAGATAGAGAAGGCCACAAAAAGATAACCTAAGGGTCAACAGTATTATTAAGAAATAAGCTTGATCCTACAAGTTTACAAGTTTTATATTATCAAATACTTTGTAAATGTCAAGTCCAAAATTTAAAAATTGAGAACTAATGAGGTTTGAACACTCCTTTTTTCAGAATGCAATGATATTTACAAAAGAAGATTAAATCCTTCAATCTCAAAGATGAATATTTATGAAAATTGCAAAGGAATTTTTATTCTTCCATGATTACAAAGAATATAACACAGTGCCTTAAGTTTGTTATTAATTTGTAAATATCCCTAAGTTATTGTTTGAAACAGCAAAAAAAAAATTATTGAGGTTTAATCCAACAGGCATACCTCAAGACTGCAATATTTAGCTGACAGCCTTGGCTTAAATGTATACAAATTGTACCATGTTCTTACTTAAGGCTTATTAAGGTTTGTTAAAGTCAACAGCATCAGCTCACCATCTCATGAAGCAGTACATTGCCATCTTTGGTGAGTTTGATGTCACCGGCACCAGAAACAAGCCTGTTCAAAGAACAGTAATAATATTAACTTCACATGTCAAGAGTCAAACACGACATTCCCAGTACTTGTCGTTCCACTTTCCTTAATAAAGGAAACAGGGCTTTGAAAACTCCATTATGCCATGGGGGAATACCACAGTAACTATCACCACTTGCTGCTCACAGGATCCTTTCTCCCAAGATGAACTTATGGTGAATTCAGACCAAATGGAATATTCGGAGAGTACTTGAGGATTTAGAAACTTGGGTCAAAGAGTATGAGAAACAAAGCACATGTTTGCAAACTTTCCTGCAGGTTTTTATTTTTGGTAAATGTCATCAATCATTCACTCCTTCAACTTAGTTCCCCTCATTCATCACCAAGCTAGATCACTCATTCATCACCAATTCTACGATCTAAATATCTCTGAGTCATAACCCCCCCTCCCCATTTCCACTGTCATTATCATTCTACCCTGGACTGCTTAAACAGCATCCTGATTACCTCCAAATTTGAATTTACCTTCCATGCTATACATTTTTTTTCTAAAAGGCAATGTGACTCAAAAATCCCTCAGTAATTTGTATGTTCTCCATCACCTTCAAGGTAAAATCCAAACTAATTTAGCAATGACATACTTGACCTTTCCCAATCTGGCTTGTCTATCTTTCTTCCTCATCTACCACCTACCTACAAACCAAGTCTTTTACTTCCCCTTAAATTGTTTTTGTTTTGTTTGTTATGTTTACATTGTTGGGCTTTCTTATTCCTGAAATTATTCTACTTAGGAGGACTTGTACTCCTTCTCCAACTGGTGAACTCATTCTTCTTTCAAGACTATGATCAAACATCATCTGTTATCTTTTTAAAATATTTATTTATTTTAGTTTTAGGTGGACACAATACCTTTATTTTATTTTTATGTGATGCTGAGGATCCAACCCAGTGCCTCACACATGCTAGGCAAACTGCGCTACCACTTGAGCCACAACCCCAGCCCCATCATCTGTTATTTGAGAGGCTTTTCCTTCTGCCATCAGTAATTAGTCCCTTTCCTCAGTATAATCATATGCATCTATATATAATTAGCACATCTGTCTCTACCAGATTTCCTTAAGAACTAAAACTATCTTTGTCATCTGTTTTCCCAGCATCTAGTGCATAAGTGCCTTCTTCTACTATTAATATTAGTTTTCTCCTTGCTGTCAGGATGTTTCTCTTACACCCTTTTGCTCTCACCAGTCTCTTCTCCACTTGTGTAAAGAAAAAAAAATGGTACTAAATAAATACTAAAATAATGAACAATTATAGGCACAGAGCATTCAAGGAACTTGCCTAAGTACTCAGAGCTAGAAGATTATATTTGGATTTGAACCTATGCCTGCCTGGTTCCAAATCCTGTACCCTTTCCATGACAACACATTGCTTGCCATGCAAAAAGGCTATCTGTCCTGGGGCTAAAAATTTAGCTCTGTGGTAGAGCCTGTGCCAAGCATGCACAAGACCCCTGCACCACGAAGAGGGGCTGGCAGTGGGGGGGGGGGGTGGAGTCGAATTTATAGACTAAGGGCATACAGTTTTAAAAAGCAGAGGAGTTGGGGCTGAAGATGTAACTCAGTGACAGAGGATTTGCCTAGGTACACCAAGCTCTGGGTTCGATCCCCAGCACGCGAGGAAGGAAGAAAGAGGTGTTAAACGCCTTCCATTTACAATGAGACAAATGAACTGGCTTTCTAATCCCACAGAAACCTTAACGAAAATGGGAGAGCGGGTGTCACGGCTTCACTGGGGGGCTCTTTCCTCGGGGGAGGCTTTTCTCCTCTTGACCACCAGGCTAGAGATATTCTCAGGGCAGAAATGACAAAAAGGGAGCCAGGCCTACAAGTTGATCGCTCCAGTGTCTTCGCGGAACTTATGCATCAGAGGAGGCCCCATCACCCCAAAACCGCCTGGTGCCCTAACCGCCGTCTCACATTTTCATGGTGCCCTTAGGACCCAAGTTGGTCCTCAGCACATCCTGCAGCCCTCGGGCGGCGCATATGTTGACAGCCAAGGCCGCCTGGGCCCGCGCCACTTCAGCCTTGGAGTTTATGGCCTTGATCGCTGCCATAGCCTAACGGTTGAGCGGGGGAAAAACAGCCTTCGTGCTAGTTCTGAGGTAAAATTCTGGCGCCACGCCCTCTCCTGCGCTGTGACCAATCGTCGCTCCATCCGGAAGTGACGCAATCAAGCCTCGCCGGGACGGAAGCCAGAATCGCCAGGGATCTGGTCGCAAAGATGGCGTCCTCCGCCTCCGCTCGGCCTCCGGCCGGGAAGCGAGTAGTAAATCAAGAAGAACTCAGACGATTGATGAAGGAGAAGCAGCGTCTGAGCACTAACCGGAAAAGGATAGAATCTCCGTTCGCGAAGTACAACCGCTTGGGGCAGTTGAGCTGTGCCCTTTGTAACACCCCGGTAAAAAGCGAGCTCCTGTGGCAGACTCACGTCTTGGGAAAGCAGCACCGAGAGAAAGTGGCCGAGCTGAAAGGCGCGAAGGGAGCCGCCCAGGGTCCATCTGCAAACGCTGCGTCTCTTTCCGTCAAGAGGAAAGCGTCGGATGCGGATAATCAAGACGCCAAGAGAGCGAAGGCCTCGGTTCCTCAGGTACAGCCCTCCACGTCCGCTTTGTCCACCAACTTTGACAAAACAGGAAAAGAGTCCGCTAGATCGACACCCAGTAAACCTTCGGGACTCGGTTTACTCCCTGATTATGAAGATGAGGAGGAGGAGGAGGAGGAAGAGGAGGAAGGCGGAGAAGGAAAAAGAGGAGATAGCAAGCTGCCGCCTAGCACACACGGCAAAGAACACTCACTTTCTTCCTCGCGGGAAGCAACAAGTAGTGTGCTACCAAACGATTCCTTTAATACCAATCCTCCCAAGGCCCCCTTAATTCCTCATTCAGGGTCAATTGAGAAAGCAGAAATACATGAAAAAGTGGTGGAAAGGAGAGAAAACACCGCGGAAGCATTACCAGAAGGATTTTTTGACGACCCTGAAGTAGATGCAAAGGTACGAAAGGTTGATGCGCCAAAGGATCAAATGGACAAAGAGTGGGACGAATTTCAAAAAGCCATGAGGCAGGTCAACACTATTTCCGAAGCTATAGTCGCTGAAGAGGATGAGGAGGGACGGTTGGACCGCCAGATTGGGGAGATTGATGAGCAGATAGAATGTTACCGTCGGGTGGAAAAGCTGCGGAATCGCCAGGATGAGATTAAAAATAAACTTAAAGAGGTTTTGACTATAAAAGAACTGCAAAAAAAGGAAGAGGAGAATGCTGACAGCGACGATGAGGGAGAACTACAGGATTTGTTATCTCAGGATTGGAGGGTGAAAGGGGCTTTGTTATAAGGTTTCTTGTTGTTTGTTTCTTACCTTACTGGGAATTGGATCCGGTGAAGCTCTACAGTTAAGTCCCTGCCCCCCCCCACACACACTTTTTTTAAAATTTGAGACAGGGTCTCCCTGACTTGCCCAGACTGGCCTCGAACTTGGAGATCCTCCTGCCTCAACCTGCGGAGTAGCTGGGATTCTATAGGCTTGCTCCACTATTGTTGTAGCTATTGTAAAGTTTTTTTCAGCAGTAAAAATGCTTTCAGTATAACAATACATCTGTTACTCCTTTCCTAGAGATTTGGATACTCGTGTCCATTTTTGAGATACAATGAGCCAGGAACAGTAGCACTTTGGAAGGTTGGTGTAATGTATTTTTGAGGTAAAGTTGCTTTTGAAATTTTTGAAGTGTTATGTAACAAAGTGCCAACTTTTTCATACATTTTAAGGCTTAAGTGTTTACTTTTGAGTTGAAAATCTGTAAGTTGTAAATATTGTGTACAGTTAAATATATATTTACGTAATTATTTTGAAATTTATAAGTTGATATAAGTCTGATAAACAGACAAGTGTTTACATGAGTACTCTGCTATTTGAGATGTATATATTTTTCTGAATCCTATATCAAAAGGTTGCAATTTTTTATTTTGTCTTGTTTTAAGAACACTACTCAAACACAAAAGTTATTCTGGGTTACTCAGTTCTCTGGATATTCTATTTTCAAAAAAAATTTTAGAAGAACATTGAGAAAAATATATACCAAACATGTTCAACCTTCTTAAAGCAAAGTTTCCCTTTGATTAGACCAGTCATTGTCATATGTGGATGTATATGAGAATCACCTTTGATACTTTTAAAAGTGTACACATGAATCACCTATAAAGCTTAAAAAAAAAAAAGAAAGAAAGTCAAATATCTGAGTAAACCTGGGTGGGATGGGGTCCAGACAACTATTTTTCTTCTTCTTCTTCTTTTTGCATGAGTAGGGATCAAACCTAGTGCCTATTAGACAAAACACTCTAACCCCAGCAGAGACAACTGTATTTTTGAAGTTCCTAAGTTATTCTAATAATATGCCAAAATTGGAGAGTGCCTTAATCTAGAATCCATTTATGTTGTTTTCAGAATTACTTTTGCTCTAAAACATTCCATAAATTTCCTGTTTCTTGAATGAAAGAAATACTTATTACCTTTATTTCCACCTTATCCAGTCTGAATTTTGATTTTGTGATAAATTAGGATTCATTTTTATAGGTTTTGTTAATTATGGAGAGGACATTTAAAGTTTTTTTTTTATTATTATTTAAGTTTTCCTAATAGTAACAATTATCCTTGTTGATCTTTAATAGATTTAGTTATTCCTTCCTTTGGAGATTTGGTATTTAAACAAGAAAAGAGAATTAGTGTTCTGGAGTCAGAAATGCGTACTCAGACAGCATATTCAAATAATACGTAAGACTTAACAGTTATTAGCACAGGCCAGGCAGGATTCTAAGTGCTTTACATATATTAACTCGGTATATGAGTTTCCCTAAAGCGAAGATTTTATAGATAGAAGTACCAAGAAAGTTTGCAAAGCCTTGAATTCTAAATAATTCTTCCTGTTGGCAATGTGGAAATAAATGGAGGTATTTTAAGCAAAGAATTAATCTGCAAAGAAATATCAGATGTCATTCTAGTTGCAGTATATAGAATGAAATGAACATGGAAGAAAGAAGCTGGGAGACTACTTGAAAAATGCATCTTCAAAAGCAAGGTAATAACTAAGACTGATTAGATATGGACTGAAAAAATAGAATTCAAAGAAATTTACAAGAAGAGTTGTTTTAGTGACTAGATGTAGAAGAAGAGAGAAAGATGGATTCAAAGGATAGATTTTTTTTTTATTAGTGTGGATGCCTAGAAGTTGTTGTCTAACACTTGTTGAGCAGAAGCACAAGTTATTAGTACTCTTTCCATCTCTGGCACAAAAATCTTTGCTTTCTTGAGCTGCCAGTTGGTCAGTGATAGCACTTTCAGTTTGACTAAGGGTACACCTGCCTCAAACCTATGAACCCACACTTAGACTTTTCTGTCATTCATCACTTTAGTTGTAGTTGGACACAATACCTTTATTTCACTTATTACTTTTATGTGGTGCTGAGGATCAAACCTCACACGTGCAAGGCGAGTGCTCTGCCGCTGAGCCACAACCTCAGCCCTCATTCATCACTTTATTATTTCAGCATGAAAGAAGTACAAAAATGGGTTGAATTGTGAGCCCACTTCTACCTTGGTTAATTAATAGTGTAATACCCAATAAATAATGCAAGCCACATATATTTTAATTTTTATAATAGCCAATTTAAAAAGAAATAAGTGGATTTAGTTTTAATGATTTATTTGATTTATCAAAAATATTAACATTCGGGGCTGGGGATGTTGCTCAAGCCGTAGTGCGCTCGCTGGCATGCCTGCGGCCTGGGTGCGATCCTCAGCACCACATACAAATAAAGATGTTGTGTCTGCCGAAAACTAAAAAATACTTATTAAAAAATTCTCTCTCCCTCTCTCTCTCAATTTTTAACATTTCAATATGTAATCAGTATTTAAAGGTTACTAATGTTACTTTTTTTTTCTTTCTTTTTTTTTTTTCCAAGCAAAAAGTGGGTTTACTGCAAAAGAGAGACTTCTTCAAAGAGAAGGGGCCCCAGAGTTGGGAATCCCTCTTTGCTTGTTTTCTAAAATCTGAGTGTTATCAGCAATCACAGTTTAGACTGGCCACTTTTCAAGTATTGAGTAGCCATTTTGTGACAGCACAGATTAAAGAGAATGTTATCCAAGTGAAAAAAATAAAACGGGAGGTAATAAGCAGACTGATATAACTGGAGCAGAGGGTTCATTCCTGGCAACAGTGAGAGTTAGCACTGGAAATGTAGTTTGTGAACAGTGTGGAAGGCCTTCAATGACATCTATAAAGAATTTGGACTTTCTGAGTTTTATCCTTAAATGCTATCCCCCACCCCCATGGGGGCATTGAATCAAGGGACCCTTTGTCACTGAGCCACATCTCCAGTCCTTTTTAAAGTTTTATTTATGAGACAAGTCTCACTGAATTACTGAAGCTGACCTTGAACTTTCATTCCCCCTATCTCAGCCTCCTGAAATGCTGGGATTAACAGGTACATCCAGTGAATGTTGAGTCCTTAATTGTTACACAAAGAAGGCCTTAAGGAATACCAGGTGAGTGTTACTATGCATTTGAACCCCACCTAGGGCTTTTAGAAAAAGTTCTCAAAATTTGATCCCAGTGCTCTGAATCCTAGACTAGTAAGAATGTGCCCTGACCATCATTAGTGCCCTGGTGAATCCTTGTTGAATTTGCTGAGGCTGGCCTCAAACTTGGAATCCTGCTACCCCAGCTTCCCAAATCGGGCAGGAGGCTTGTGCCACCAAGCCTAGCTCCAACCAGATTGTTTTTAATACTAAATGTTTTATTAGCCTGTGTGACCTCAGGAATTTAGAAGATTTAAATCTAAATAGGAAAAAAGATCCCAGAACTGACTACATTCTATTTTCTACCTACATTTCCACCCTCAGTGATCTCATCCATTTCCATGAGTGCAGGTATCACCTATGTACTGAAGACTCCCAGTTTTCTCCCCAAAGTGATCTTCCTCTCCTAACCTCCTGGCTCATTTAACTGCCTATCTAACATTCCACTCAGATGTTTAATAGTTTTTCTTAATTTAGTAAACC